GGTTCCTAGGCCTACCTGGACCTAGCTGGGACCGTCGTGACCTGGTACCTAGGCCTAAACTGTGCCTATTACAGAACCGGGCCCTAACTGGGGCCTGTGTGGTATCAGTATGCCACACACTCCCCCCCTTGAAGACCGAGCTAACTGCGAGGGCGAAGCTGTCTGTCCGATGTCTGTACGGGGCGGGCGGGTTGGGCAGCTTCCTTAGCAAGTCACTGTTTTTCGTAATGCGCGAAGATGAGGGGTATTGTCGCCTTCAGGTCAGCTTGTGAAATCCAGCGTGTGTCGTCGGGATCGCATTGCTTGAATGTGCCTTTGTACTGCATTGGCTTGTTGTCGTGCTTGCGATGAGTGAGGACGCTGTTGACCTCTTGGTGACTATCCATTGATGGAGGATCGTGTGACCGTCTGCCCGGGAAATCTGCTGTTGAGGCTGGAGTATAGACCGCCAACTTTGAAGCGTGAAATACTGGGTGGACCGTCAAATGCGGGGGAATCTTGATTATGAAAGAGGGATCCGCGGGGTCGTCACCAGCTGCTGAAGTGACCTTCCATGGACCAAACCACTTCGGGAGGAGCTTGCGCGAGACGTGCTGCTCGAGCGTGAATTCCTCGGAGGTGACCCACACAAGGTCACCGGCGCGGATTGGACATGGGATGCGACGCCGATTCGCTTGCTGCTGCATACAAACCTGAGCCTTTTGCATATTTGCGCGGGCTTTGGCCAGTAGTTCCCGGTACTTCCGTAGAAGTGGGGGAGCAAGCGGCGTCGATATCGGCAGTCCGTGGGAGCAAAATGTTTGCGAAGATATGGCCTTTCCGTCCACCGTGATGCAACTCAAAGGGAGTCACGCCGATCATCGGGTGCACCGAAGTGTTGTACGCAAACTCGATGTCGGGAAGGCGGTCAACCCAGTCCTTCTAATCCGGGCGGATGAGTGTGCGGAGCATCATCTGCGCAGTCTGGTGCGCATGTTCTGTTTGCCCATCCATTTGAGGATG